AGTGATTATTATGAGTTAGTTCATCAAGATAAGCAGCAAGTGGTGCCAGTACCGTTGCAGACAAAGAGGGAAGAATAAATGTTCATGTGAATGATTCTCTAAATATTGCCGTTGCACCATTTCGCTTTTTCTCATCAGCCAAGATTTCAAACTTAAAGTGAAACCAAAATCAATCGACCAAATTAGAAGCTACTTTTGTTGTCCTCTGGCAGAAATCATGGGAACATTGTTTATAAAATGATGTCACCATTATCATTACAACAGAAGCACGCTAACAGTAGCAAACACATACTACACATGTGACTAACAGAGTGAAGATGTCAGCTCCCTCCTCTTCTGCTTCAGTCTCAGCGGTGGATTGGCTCCTTGTGCTGAAACTTCACAAGGTGATGGATGATTTTAATTAAATGCTGATCCCCCAACTGGGATCTGTCTGAGAGTTAGTGTGCCCTCTTTGGGGCCTGCTGGACTCTGGCAAGGACCCAAATATTAGTTTGATCGCTGATTACCCAAAGTGACTCCACCAGACAGGGTCTCCCTCCTTTGAGACCACATATTATGGTAATTTCCAGGTCAAATGTTAAGCTTTAGAGCTAATTATATCTTCACACAGTGCTCTAAGATGAGTGACTTGCATTTCTAGCAAGACCAGAGACTGTCCTGAGGCCACAAACAACTTCACAGCGTATACTGCCTCCCGAAGTGCCCGGCCGGAAGTCCCCGGAGTTGGGCACTGAAGCCTTCCGAGTAAATCGCCAGAACGCCGACACCTGCTCATCACTCCACCGCTCCCATGTTTTCTTTTGTGTTGCCATAAGTTAGTCTCTCTGCGTTTCTGCGCTGGGCTAATGCTAATAATGCTAATGCGAGCAAATAAAATGGCGGCTTCACAAAACTTTTTGGGAGTTTTACGGGGCGTGGTTTGCAATCCGCCCAGCCAATCAGAAATGGGAACCTTTTTCTCCCATGAAAGTACCTGCTCTCTAGCAGGGACTGAAAAGGGGGTGGAAAGGTTCTCATGAACTAAGTTCTAGTTCCAGATTTTTTTTATGTGAACGCACATCTTCGGAACTCTATCGGAACTATACTGGGAAAAGTACTCTGGTGTGAAAGGGACTAATGCTACTTGTTGCTTGCCAATTAAATTGTTTCAGTACATTTCAATCAGCTGACACTTTTATCCAAAGTGACTCACAATCAGTGCTCTGAACCATAGAGATACAAACTCAAAATGCAAGAATCCTGCAAGTACACCAGCTTTCAATAAGCCAAACCATTGTAAGTGCTGCTGCATTTGCTTCAACTAAACCAAACCGTGTACAGAAGTGAGTTATTATTGGCCAAAATGCAGTGGAAACAGGTGGGTTTTCAGTCTATGACAAAAGGTCGGTAGATTTCAAGCTGTTCTGAATTTAATGGGGAGCTCATTCCACCATAGGAGCCACAAAACCAGCTACACCATGACAGATTTACTAGAACCATTTAAAAAAAAAGGCACAACTGTTCGTATAGAAGGTGGCTGTGCGGATATCCCCAAACACAAGGTCGGATTTGCTTCCCTGGATAAAAGGAGATCATCCTGCTGAGGAAACAGAGGAGAAGCACGGAGCATATTCACACCAGACTGGGTCCATCACAAGGAGTTACTGCAACACACACACACACACACACACACACACACACACACACACACACACACACACACACACACACACACACACACACACACACACACACACACACACACACACACACACACACCACACACGCACACACACACACACACCCTAACCCTAACCATGTTTACATCACTTCAGGGGACATTACATTGACTTACATGCATTTCCTGGAGACTTATCCTAACCTTAACCATAACCAACTCATGCCTAACCCTCACCCTAACCCTAACCAAGTCTTCACCCTAAAATTAATGATTCCCCTCATGGGGACCTCCATGTTGTCCCCATAAGGGATGCGAGTCCCCACACGTGACTGTGTAAACAGATTTAGGTCCCCACAAGTATAGTAATGCTAGGCCACACACACACACACACACACACACACACACACACACACACACACACACACACACACACACACACACACACACCAAAGCCCCTGTCAGTGCAGGTTAGTCGAGTTAGTCATGTGCTCTGACCCAAATCAACTTCTAAATTCATGTTCTCTCAGTGTTGGGCAGCTTTCAGGATCTGCTGGCTCCTGATTGGTGCAGATTAGTGCTAAAGAGTGCACCTGCTGTTTATATAAGCAATGTTACACAATACTGAAGTGATGGTGCAGGGTTTCAATTTGACTGAAAGACACCTTAACCCGGGTTATTGGGACGGGGGGACTTCATCTTCATTACATTACTGTAGATTAAATGTGATTCAGCTGATGATTTTAATCTAAAGTGATGAACAATAAGTGCAATCAACCATGGAGAAACAAATCATGCAATTACTTTATAGCTTTAAATAAGCTAAACCCAAAGTGGAGTGAAAATAGATGGAATTAAATTATAAGTATTGGTGAGTTTACATCAAACGCCAAGCACACATTTTATTGTGTGTTGCAATTATACACAAAGTCAAGATTCAGCTTGAATCATTTTTAAACTTGAGAAATCACAGATGGATAGAAAGATTAGAGCTGTCTGTCATCACTAATCAACATCTTAAACGCTCTTGAGTGCATCTACTCACACGGTGTGTAGATATATGTCCATAAATAACAACATTGCTGCTGTATTAATGCCTCATTTAGAAATAAGAGTGTTATCAAAGCAGCTGAAATGATTGCAAAGCCCTAATCGATCCAAACTCAATTTAGAAAACAAGTTATTTGCTTGTCGTCTTCTGGACACAAATGACAAGGCAGGCATTTAAACTTCTTTTAGGCATCCTTTTGATCATTTGTTTTGCCATTAAATCACAGCAAAATCAGTTTATTTAAACCCGGAAACCAGTCAATTAGCGAATGCACCGATCTTCAATTTTGTTTAAACATAGCATGAAACATTAACCTGCATTATGTTACGTATACGCATTACGTATTCACTAACCCTATTACGTATCATTCCTCCTAAGATCTGAGTAATCATGCACATTATTTGGTCTGCTTTAACCTTTAAATAGTTGTATAGTGGCTATACTGTACAACTGTCCCACATTACAAGAACGCACATTACAAGGAAGTGTAACCTCCGATCCTCTTCTCTCTGCAGACGGAGCTGTTGTTGCTTCCTGTCCGTGTGTTTCATCCGCTCGGGTTATTTCTCTGCTTTGCATGGACGCTGCAGGCTGGTTCTGTTTCCAGGTCTGTTGGGATGTAGGTCGGTGCCAGGTGTTTCTGCATTTCACGCTCACTGCTTAGCTGGGGGTTCAACAGCTAACCAAACACACATCACACATACAAAACCCCCACTATACCCCCCCTCTGTAAATCGCCCTTTTTTTGTGCTCATTGTCGCCTTTTTCTTGAGATTTTTCCAACATCATCTGCCGCCCGTCATTATCGCTCCGCCTTTCAACTTTTGCACTTCTCCTGTCTCTTTGGATCTTCTTCTGTGGGACCTTCTGCCTTTTTTCTTTCTCTAATGACCTGCCTGCCCATTCCCATCACATCTCAGTGTGTTCCGAGGTGATTCTCCTCTGTGTTTCCTCTCCACACACACACGCACACGCACACGCACACGCACACGCACACACACACACACACACACACACACACACACACACACACACACACACACACACACACACACACACACACACAGAGATACAAAGACACACACACGGTTATCACTGCTCACACACTTATTCTCTTTTGCAAACATGAAAATCCACACACAGATACATGCACACACACACACACACACACACACACACACACACACACACACACACACACACACACACACACACACACACACACACACACACACACACACACACACACACACACACACACACACCTTTATGGCTTGGCTAGAGGGGGTTAAACGTCATGCAGCGTGCCAATCTGCTCACTATCTCAGCGTTGGAGCAAACACACTCCAACAATTATTCATCGCAAACTCAGTCATACGAAGAACAAAGCAACTATCACTCCCGGTGAAACTGTGGCTGTGAGAGGGCTGTGTTGTCTTCTACCAATAGGAAGGTTGGGGGTTCGATTCCAACGTACATAAACCCAAGTTCCCATGCCCAGTGGCAAAGCTGTGGAGTGTGGTAACGACTGAAAAAGCGGCACTTGCAGTCCATTTAATAAACTGTCCCAGCATGCAAACCTCAACTTTGGAAACATCTAACTTACTATTGAAGCTGATTTGCTTTTTCAATATGTACTAGATGCCAGTGGTGGAAAGTACATTTACTAAAGTATTATACTTGTTTTGACATATATGTCCCTACTATGGTATTTCAATGTAATGCTACTTACTATTACTATACAAATATCATACTTTTTACTCCATTACATTTAATTTAAACGTTTTACATATAAAAACACCTGATATGCTGATATGGTGTTATGCAGTACTGTACTACTAATCTAAAGAGTATTGTAGTATTCACATTTAGTCCACATTGACAAACTAGAACACTAACATGCTCTTACATGTATAAAAACAGGATAATGATATAACATAATACTGTGAAAAGATCCATTCGGCACAACGAGCACTTTTGATATTTGAAGTACATTAAGCTGATAATACTTCATTCATATCATTCTGAAATCAGCCATTGAAAAGAATGAGTACTTTTTGTACTTTAAGAACATTTTGATGCAAATACTTTTGTTCTTTTATTCAAGTAAAATATTCAATCAACACTTGAACTTGTAGTAGAGTATTTTTACAACCCTACTTTGACTTAAGTAAATGATCTGAGTATCTATTCCAACAAAGACGCCACTCACACGCTTTCCTCTCGCACTTCAAACACTCTCTCCACCTTTTCTTCCACACTTATTAAATAAACACAGCCGACTCTTACCGTGACGGTGGGGATGGCCGTGACCAGCGAGTAGATGAGGAGGGGGGGGGTCTTGCTGCCTTCATCCGGCCCGGGGTAAGGCTTGGAGAAGGTCTTATCGTAGCAGAAGAAGCCCTGGATGTGGACGGGGAAAGTGTCCGTGTACTCGAAGTAGTAAGCCAGCAGCACCGTCCCAGCCATGATCACCAGCTGGAAACTAAAATCATGATTCCCTCCGTTTAGGAAGTGAGGGAGGACGGGAGGTTGAAGAGGAGGAGGAGGAGGAGGAGGGGTGATGACGAAGAGATGGGGAGAGTAGGAGAGTCCCTGTTCCCCTCCACTGGGAGTGCATAGGAAACTGGAGAGAGAGAGAGAGAGAGAGAAGATGAGAGAGAGAGAGAGAGAGAGAAAGAGAGATGAAAATACAGCCAAGCAGAGAGAGGAGAGAAGAGAGGGACGAGAGATGAGAGGGAGAGAGAGAGAGAGAGGAGGAGATGATGAGAAGAGATGGAAGAATCTGCAGGAGGAGGCTCACTCCTTCAAAAAGAGAATAAAATAGGGAACCGCGGCACAGGCGGCAAAAACAAAGAGTTGAGAGAGGGGGAGAGAAGGAGAGAGAGAGGAGTGAGGAGAGAGAGGAGGGAGAGAGAGAGAAAGGGGGAGCAGCCTTTAAAGCTGCCAACCACTTCTGAAATCTACTACAGTTGAGATGTGGGGTGTATTTAGATTCTGTGTTTGTAAAATACATGCATGTGTGTGATGAGCAGAGTGAAGTGTGATTTTAAAATTCAGTTTCTTACAAATTGACTTCTTCTTACAAAGATACATTCCTGATAATCTTCTAAATAAAGTATTTGAGGTATTGCATGTCATGCTTAAAAGGACACAGAGTATTTAAGTTGCATATACGTATATGGGCGACTTGCAAAAGACATTAAATAAATGGTCAAAATCAATGCAGAACTATCCCGCATCTATTTTACCTAACCCTTAACTACCCACAATGCAACTCGATAGTGTCTCTACAGTGAATTGTGTTTTAAAATGTTGTTTAACCGGATAATGTGATTGTTGTAAGCATCATGTTTAATGCAGGTTTTTTAAACACGGAAAAGCTGATATATATATTGGGTCTAAACTCCTTCCCCTTGGCCGGTAGACGAGTTTGACTCTCTGATTTTTTTCCTGGGGTGTCACGTCGACGTCACCAACTAGCCAAACATTTATTCCTTTCTCTAATCGTTATTTTTCAGTGATTGTTTTAAACCCCAGTGCCAATTAACTTGGAGTGATGTCCAAGTGCTGCTTGGATGGATGGGATTTGTAGCTAAGATTCAAAATGACTTATTACTCAGCTGCTAGCATTGTGCAAAAATGGTCTTGTCAGCCAGGATGTCATGTTTGCCTGACAGTCTAATAAACCCTAGGTCTTCACATAGAAAAGGGTTTGTTTAAACTTTATTTAAGGAAAGCCCCTTGAGATGAACCATCTCGTTTTCGAAGGGGTCCGACAACAATACATACAATGCAAAAACATGAATACAGACAACATAGTTTGAAGAACAACCAAGGAATGCACACATTTTGCTTGCCTTACTTTACAGTACAATTAGGCGCGTTCACACCGCAGTACTTTTCCCACTTTAGTTCTGATATAGTTCCGAAATGTCGCGTTCACACCAAAAAAATCCGGAACAAAAATTAGTTCATGAGAACCTTTTTACCCCCTTTTCCGTCCCTGCTAGAGAGCAGGTACTTTCGTGGGAGAAAAAGGTTCCTATTTCTGATTGGCTGGGCTGATTGCAAACCACGCCCCGTAAAACTCCCAAAAAGTTTTGTCGAGCCGCCATTTTATTATCCTCGCATTAGCATTATTAGCATTAGCATTATCCCAGAGCACAAACGCAGAGAGACTAGCTTATGGCAACACAAAAGAAAACATGGGAGCGGTGGAGATGAGGAGGTGTCGGCGTTCTGGTGATTTACTCGGAAGGCTTCTACTGAAGCCAGTCCCTAACTCCGGGGACTTCCGGCCGGGGACTTCGGGTGGCAGTATACGCCGTGAAGTTGTTTGCGGCCTGCCAGTAAACCCAAAGCAGAAGAAGAAGAAGTGACGTCAGCGGCTTCATTTACCTAATCCTCCCCCAGGGACTTATTCCGGTGTGAACGCGATCTGTACTTAGTTCATCAGAACTAAAGAGTTCTGATGAACTAAGTTCTGATGAACCTTTGTGGGAAAAGTACTGCGGTGTGAAAGCGCCTATTAAGACTTGGTGCACCATAGGGTTTAGTTCATTTAAATTAATAAAAAGCCCCTAACCCTAGTCCCTCATGGAAAATGTGTTGGTTCAGTCTAACTTTTAGTCATTACAGATGCATTAATACAACCACATCAGCAAAAATGAAAATAAAAGTTGCTCCTATAAACCGACGATGCCAAACGAGCTGCAGCTCCGGCAACTTTAGCCCGGCCTTGAACCAAAAACCCTAAAGAGAGATATCTATCAGTCGCACACACACACACACACACACACACACACACACACACACACACACACACACACGCATGCGCACGCGCACACACAATTATTTATGAACAATGGAGTTCTCTTCTATTCGCTCCGTCTCTTTATTGGTATCAGCCTTCATGCCTTCCTTGAGACGGAAGTGTTGTGCTATCTGCGGTTGTCATGGTGAAGAAAATAAAACTCTGTATTTTTAGTACTTCAAAAAATGTGTTTCGTATAAAGACCTAATCATTGAACAGAAATCATGTCAACAGTTATTGCCAGTGTGTGCATATTATGTGTTTGAGGTGAGTTATATATATCGTTTATTTAACCAGGTAAAAGACTCATTGAGATTAAAATCTCTTTTCCAAGAGTGACCTGGCCAAGAAGGGCAACATGAACGAAGTTACAACAGATAAAACACAGACATGACAGGCAGACAAATACAGCTGTAAAACACAAATAAAATGGCACATTAGCCCGTCAATATGCGAAGTAAAACAAACTGTTAAAAATCATTCAAAACTGGCAAAATTTAAAACAATTTTAGGATATACGAGCACTCACATCTACCAATGGTGTCGTGTTCTCTGTCCTTTAAGATGGACCTGAATTCCCCCATAGTGATTACATCTGAGAGTTGCAGCTCCTTCTGAACATTATTCCAAGCAGTGGGTGCAGCATATTTAAAAGCTGTTTTACCCAGTTTTGTTCTCACTGTAGGAACCAGCATCTGAATGAAATCTTGGGAGCGCAGGCCATATAGACTTTCTCTTTGACACATATATGTGCAAATGTAGGAGCACATATATGAGGGGCTGCACACACACCTGATAGCACTTTGGTGTGTTTGCTCTGGGCTTAATGTGTGTGTGTGTGTGTGTGTGTGTGTGTGTGTGTGTGTGTGTGTGTGTCATTAGGCTTCCCTTTGTGTGTCTGTTTAATCGCTTGCTGCTCCTCCCCTGCATTTACCCAGCATTGTGCCTGACTCTGACTCATGCTTGTGATTGCCTCTTTGAAGGAACACCAGTAATTCACAATCAGCGACATGCTTGTTATTCCTCGCTGTTATTCGGTGTTATAATGTGGTGCAGGATGACATATTTTTGTAGTCTGACCCTAAAGTCAGCTGCGCAATGGCTCCCTTGACAAAAAGCCAATGGGATTTTCCACATATTAACACCACTTTTATAACTTTTAAAGCGTAAATGCAATCTACAGAAAAGCTAACGTTGGGCTACAAAGGAACTACAGCACGGTCACATGACTTCACGTCACCACCGCTAAGCTAAAGGCGGCTAATGTTGGGCTATAAAGGAACCACAGCACGGTCACATGACTTCACGTCACCACCGCTAAGCTAAAGGCGGCTAATGTTGGGCTACAAAGGAACTACAGCACGGTCACATGACTTCACGTCACCACCGCTAAGCTAAAGGCGGCTAATGTTGGGCTACAAAGGAACTACAGCACGGTCACATGACTTCACGTCACCACCGCTAAGCTAAAGGCGGCTAATGTTGGGCTATAAAGGAACTACAGCACGGTCACATGACTTCACGTCACCACCGCTAAGCTAAAGGCAGCTAATGTTGGGCTACAAAGGAACTACAGCACGGTCACATGACTTCACGTCACCACCGCTAAGCTAAAGGCGGCTAATGTTGGGCTACAAAGGAACTACAGCACGGTCACATGACTTCACGTCACCACCGCTAAGCTAAAGGCGGCTAATGTTGGGCTACAAAGGAACTACAGCACGGTCACATGACTTCACGTCACCACCGCTAAGCTAAAGGAGAATAATGTTGAGCGTGATGACGTTTAGTCGTCTCATTTAGACACTTGTTAGCAACAGGCGTTTTTGAATTCACCAGGGGGTATTTACTCACGTATTTAATGTCATAGAACAAATGTAGAAGTTTCAGCTTGTGAAAACTCATTGAATTTGTGAGCTTTTTTTCCGCAACAAAACAACTATTCTACCGCAATCCTGGTGTTTTATTAGTCTTTTCAGATACTTGTTTGTTGTACATTGGGAAGATCTGTGATCATGTTATCCGTTTCTGTTACGATCATCTGTCTCCTGCATTTTGGTCCACCCTGCTTTTCCTACTGTAACACTCTTTTTTTTTTTTTAAATCTCTTGACCTCTCATCAAGAGGAAAGCTGGCATTTATAGAAAAAGGGGGACAGGCTACGAGTAAATAATCCATCCTTCCTCTGACCTATTTTAGCGTGGAGATGAAAATGCAGATCGATAGCAGGAGGGATCTCAGCTTGTCAGGATGAAAGGTCAAATAAAGAAAAGCTGTCGCAGCGAGACGTGATGCGCGGCTCGATTTATTTATTTTGTATTCATCTATTCAATATCATACAGTACATGAACATCATACCTTCTACATACAACAAAGTCCAGGGGCAGACATACAAAGCAACAAGACATTACATACAGTAAAGAAAGAAAGAAAAGGAAAATACATTTTGATACTTCAGATTACATATTTTTTCCAGGGTTTAAATGCACAAAATATTGTTTGCTGTTTACTCCAAACTAGACAATACTTTTACCAAGCCTTTTAGATGGTTAAGGATTATTCCTAATGATATGAAGCCCTAAAAACATGTCCTAAGTTGTCCTCCTGTGGCAGACTTGTTCCCTCTTGTTTCTTCAACCATCCAACCATCAGCTGGACTTCG